GTGTGGGTCTGTGTCTGAGAAAGGCAGAAATGCAAGAGTTTGATTTCTGGCAAAAACCTTACAGTTTTTACCTGGAATCTCCCTGTTTTCCCTGTGAAAGTTCATACTTCCGTGCAGGAGAGGGCAGGGGACACAACCTCCCAGCGACAAGCTTCTGTATTTTTTCTCAGACAACAAAACACACTTTCCACTGGGACGCATTCAAATGGGGTTGCAAAACGGGGTAGTAAATGGCATTGCAAAACCCCAAACACCCTTATCGCCCACTTACCGGACCTGCCTGGCGTTGCTTGGGTCACTCATAGGTCGGAAGGGTTTTGTTTGTGTACGGTTTTCAGGCAGCGCGCGGGCAGAAGCAGGACCGGGAGATACGGGGAGACTTTTGTGCTGCTCAGGTTTATGGGATGCTTTTTTATTAAATCTGGTGCGTCCTGGTTGCGAGTTGAGTCTCCCCCTGTGCCCCTTTCTGAGTCTTTTGCTGGGGGTGGAGGAAGCTCCAGAGACCCCATAAGGGGAGAGAGCCTGCTGGGAAGGAGGGTGATAAACCCCAGGACAGGTCTCAGGGAGAAGGTGGGGGAACATGGGGAACCTCCTTCCCACCTCGGCGAGCTCCTGCCTGGCCTCCTGCCGCAGGACATCTCCCGTCTCCCTCCGGAGAGCTGTTTCCTGTCTGTTGCTTGAAATCCCGGTGGGACGGCGGGGTGTCCGTGGCCGGAACGGTGGAGGGTGGGAAGGGGTGGGAGCGGGACGAGGCTCCCGCGCAGCGCCGTGCAGCTCCCCGGGGATGCGGGGCACTGCCGCCACCTGCTGACTCCGGCGCTGGCGGCGCCTGGTCCCCGCGGTCCCCGGCCCCGGGATGCTCCGCGGCCCGGACCCGGCGCCTTGCTGGTGCGTGGGAGACATGCAGAGGGGCCCGTTGTCGGGGAGGGTAGAAAGCTGCTCGGCAAACCTGCCGCCGAGAGAGCTGCCGGGATTTCCTGTGAGTGCTGCCACGCTCTGGGGTGAGACCTGACATTTGGGGGGAGACTTGTGCAGGAAAAGAATTAGCTTCTCACCGCTGTATGTGCCTTCCTGCTTCCTCGGTCCTCACCACACTTTGGGAT